TGTATATTAAATAATCACATCAAAGTATTGACTCTCTTCACAGTTTGCTTCTGTCACTGCTTCTCACAGGCATGTATTTCTGTCACATCTTTAAATCAGATTTTTTCAGAAAAGTGTAAAAGAGTGCTCGGGTTAGGGTTAGGGTAAACTAATTAGCACTTAATTAGTGAGGGCTAATCTAAAGTAATACCATGTTTTCCAACATAAGTGGAGAAAAATGTATATACCCCAGATTTAAACAAACAATTGTACATAATAAACTGACAGTGAGAGAAGCTGCTGGGGAGATGTGTAAAGAGATGTGCCCTAACCTCACTTTTTGAGCCTCAAAAGAATAATCCAACGTCTGCTCACTCCAGATCAAAAAAGTATATTTTATCCAGTGTGAAAAGTATTTAGTACAAAAAGAACCTGTGCCAGTCCACTGTTTACACACTCGTCACAGAACAAAGTACTGCCTTCATTGTTGTCAGCCATTTTGTTTAAGATTTTAACATTTCTGAAGTTGAACGCTGGAAAAGGTCCATTGGGTGAGCGCAGTTTTCTGTTGTAAAGAATTGTGCAGTAAACTTAATTTAATCAGATTTTTGTTATAACAGCAGTATGTCCAAGAAAACGCCAAAATGTTATTTTTGTAAGACGTCTTCTAACGTTTCCAAAATGGATCCATGTTGTATTGTGTGCATATAACAGTTTTTTTTCCTAATGTTGTCATTTTCTGGTTTAATGATGTCTTAAGTGTAAATAATAGTTTCATACTGATAAAGGTGCCGTTTTGGAGAATTTTTGGGGAAAAGCAATTTTCAGGAATTGAGGCAATGTTGTAGAGCTGATGATTTTATCTTAGATTTGGAAAAACAATCCTCTGACTTCACTAAATCAAAGTATTCACAACCAGGAAGTTATTCAATTCTTAAAGGAGACATAATATGCAAAGACAACGTTTTTGAGCTTAACCATGTTTCAACATTTTAGTAAAATCAAGAGCTACTGGAAAAATGTACTCTGGCCCGTCTGTCTAAAAGTCCCTGTCTCAGTCTCAGTCTTAGTCTGTCTCAGTCTCAGTCTCAGTCTCAGTCTGTGTCTGTCTCAGTCTCAGTCTGTGTCTGTCTCAGTCTCAGTCTCAGTCTCAGTCTGTGTCTGTCTCAGTCTCAGTCTGTGTCTGTCTCAGTCTCAGTCTCAGTCTCAGTCTGTGTCTGTCTCAGTCTCAGTCTGTGTCTGTCTCAGTCTCAGTCTGTCTCAGTCTCAGTCTGTGTCTGTCTCAGTCTGTGTCTGTCTCAGTCTCAGTCTGTCTCAGTCTCAGTCTGTCTCAGTCTGTCTCAGTCTCAGTCTGTGTCTGTCTCAGTCTCAGTCTGTCTCAGTCTCAGTCTCAGTCTGTCTCAGTCTCAGTCTCAGTCTGTCTCAGTCTCAGTCTGTCTCAGTCTCAGTCTGTCTCAGTCTCAGTCTCAGTCTGTCTAAAAGGTTCAGTCTCAGTCTCTATGACATCACACTCAGAGCAGTTCCGGATTAAGTTAAGTCCTTTACAATCACAAGGCCGTGTTTGCAGCCACTCATTTTGGAAACAAAAGTCAGTTATAGTCAGTTATAGTCAGTTAGAGTCAGTTATAGTCAGTTAGAGTCAGTTATAGTCAGTTAGAGTCAGTTATAGTCAGTTATAGTCAGTTATAGTCAGTTATAGTCAGTTAGAGTCAGTTATAGTCAGTTATAGTCAGTTAGAGTCAGTTATAGTCAGTTATAGTCAGTTAGAGTCAGTTATAGTCAGTTATAGTCAGTTATAGTCAGTTAGAGTCAGTTATAGTCAGTTATAGTCAGTTATAGTCAGTTATAGTCAGTTATAGTCAGTTATAGTCAGTTATAGTCAGTTAGAGTCAGTTAGAGTCAGTTATAGTCAGTTATAGTCAGTTATAGTCAGTTATAGTCAGTTATAGTCAGTTAGAGTCAGTTAGAGTCAGTTATAGTCAGTTATAGTCAGTTAGAGTCAGTTATAGTCAGTTATAGTCAGTTATAGTCAGTTATAGTCAGTTATAGTCAGTTATAGTCAGTTAGAGTCAGTTAGAGTCAGTTATAGTCAGTTATAGTCAGTTAGAGTCAGTTATAGTCAGTTATAGTCAGTTATAGTCAGTTAGAGTCAGTTATAGTCAGTTATAGTCAGTTATAGTCTATAGTCAGTTATAGTCAGTTATAGTCAGTTATAGTCAGTTATAGTCAGTTATAGTCAGTTATAGTCAGTTATAGTCAGTTATAGTCAGTTATAGTCAGTTAGAGTCAGTTAGAGTCAGTTAGAGTCAGTTAGAGTCAGTTAGAGTCAGTTATAGTCAGTTATAGTCAGTTATAGTCAGTTATAGTCAGTTATAGTCAGTTATAGTCAGTTATAGTCAGTTAGAGTCAGTTAGAGAGTCAGTTATAGTCAGTTATAGTCAGTTATAGTCAGTTAGAGTCAGTTATAGTCAGTTATAGTCAGTTATAGTCAGTTATAGTCAGTTATAGTCAGTTATAGTCAGTTAGTTAGTCAGTTAGAGTCAGTTAGAGTCAGTTATAGTCAGTTATAGTCAGTTAGAGTCAGTTATAGTCAGTTATAGTCAGTTATAGTCAGTTAGAGTCAGTTATAGTCAGTTATAGTCAGTTATAGTCAGTTATAGTCAGTTATAGTCAGTTATAGTCAGTTATAGTCAGTTATAGTCAGTTATAGTCAGTTATAGTCAGTTATAGTCAGTTATAGTCAGTTAGAGTCAGTTAGAGTCAGTTAGAGTCAGTTAGAGTCAGTTAGAGTCAGTTATAGTCAGTTATAGTCAGTTATAGTCAGTTATAGTCAGTTATAGTCAGTTAGAGTCAGTTAGAGGCAGAAAGCATTTTTTCCCTTTCACTTGTTTCACCATATTTTTAAACTTAAAATATGATTTGTCATTCTAACCATTAGAAAGTGTTGTTTTAATTTTGAATGACCAAAAATAATGCATAATATTTCTTCTTTAAATACAATGATCCTGAAATGATCTTTTGTGAAATGAAAAATGGGCTTTAAGTTTTTTTCTGTAATGGTTCAATATTTGGTGTTTACCGTTTGGAAAAG